CGGGACAAGAATCAGCACGTCCAGGGCCTCGACAAAAGCGAAGAAGCCCCCCATCGTCGACAAATCTTCCTTGCCCGTCGGTTGGATGAACAAAGGCACGAATGTGTCATTGCCCCTCAAGGCGACAACCGTCTGAATCATATTGTTCCACGCCTTCCATGGGGCTGCTTCCGGCTTCTCGCCCGCCAGGTACCCCCTGATGAGCTGGCGGCACGTCCTGCCAACTTTGATGAACAAGCGCGAGATGAAGTCCATGGCGACGTCCGAGAGCGCGAAGGGAAGATACTTGCTGTGGGGCAAGTGCTCTATCTGCGAGATCGTGGACAGCCTCTGGAGGAACCACTCGCAGACGATGCGCTCGTTGTCCATCCAATAGAAAGCGTCCTCGGTGGCCATGCAGAGCGACTCGAGCGTCTCCCGGAGTACCTTGCAGTCTTTGAGGTAGGTGGTCGCTCTCTCCTGGTACGCCGACGCGCGCTTACACACGGTAGTGCCAGCTGGGGACATGCACAAATCGTTGGGCAGCGTCCCAGAAGCAGACGCAGCTGCAACAGCGGCCTGCAAGGAATCGAAAGCCTGCGTGTTCACGTCATCCTTGATGGCGAGCGTCGGCGTTTCAATTCTGACCGCGCCTGTCAAGCCCTGGTAATGAATCTCGACGGGCAAGCACTCCACAGGGGCATGGAACGGGACCTTCATGAAATTCACGACCAAAGCCATGGTGTCTAAGTCCTTGTGCAAATCTGGGAAACCAACGTCCAACTTGAACTCCGAGACGCAATTCAACGGAAGGAAGCGCTGCAATGCGCCATGGGCCCGGTCGACATCTGGCTTCCCGATGATCTCCAAGATTTTCGCAGACACCAGATCGCGAGCCTGACGCTTGGCCTCCTCTTCGGGAAACCCTGCAGTCAGAAGAGAACCGATTGTGCAAAGAGACCAAAACGTCGCTGGGTCCGTGCTGGAACTCGCCCGCAAGCAGTGCCGGGCCCTCTTCAAATGCTCTGGCCATGGCTCCTCGCAGACCGGCTCGACACCCAAGATGGCCGCCTCGACGGCGTTCGACGGCGAGCTCGCATCAACTTCACCCCGCCCAACCGCCCCCCGAGCAACCCCAGAGCCCTGTCCTCCTCACCCTCCCAAGATGAGCCCAAGAGGGCCCCAAGAGGGGCCCCAGAGGGCCCCTCCAAGATGGCCCCAGGAAGGCCCAGGTGACCCCGTTTTGTTCGACTTGGCGGGGCCCCTCTTGGGGCCCTATTGGGCCCTTCTTGGGCCCATGTGGGGCCCCTCGCGGGCCCGTCTGGGAGCCATCTTGATCCACCCGCGACCCGCCCGCCTTCTTGGGGCCCTCTCGGGGTGGTCGGACGGACGCGAAGTTAAGTTGAGCCCATCGACGGCCTGTTGATCAAGAACCTGGCCGAGGGCCGGGGCGTCGAAGCCGCCTTGCTGCACCTGCTTGCAGACGGCATGGATGGCGGTAACAATCTTCCGAGACTTTTTGAAGGGCAACGCCTCCGTCTCCTGGCCATCACCGAAAGTCCCGATTTTCACATCCAAGTCATCCGTCAATCGCTTGAGGTATCGGGTGTGATTCCTCCACATGTCACCAAACCAGAGGTCGTTGTCCTTGCCCGCAGCTCCGAACTCCTTCGCGACATCGGCCGCGGTGGTGATCAAGTCCCTCGTTTTGGGGCCCGTCTTGGAGAGGCTGGGCGGCGGCTGAACTCCTGGGGGCACGGCGAACATGCCCCATTGGTGGGGAAGGGGCCAAAATATCGGGTCGGGCGAAAGGGGGGGATAGCAAAGGGGGGGTTTGAGAATCAGCTCACGTAGCTGATTTTCCCGGCGCCTCCCGGCGCCGGAGGCGGCTATGCATCGAGAAATGGCCCCCTCGGTGAGACCGAAACCAGCTGCATGCAGCAAATTTCGTACCCCCCCCTTTCCCAATCCCCCCCTTTCGCCCGGCCCGAAAATACACCGAGCGGGGACCGAGGATATCCAACAAAATCCCAACCCCAGCACAGGCCGCCCAGGAGCACGGCGCCCCCGGGGCTGCCCCCCCGACGGAGGCTACGTCACCCCCCGGGCGGGGGGCAAGAGGGGGGCCCCCCCGGCACTGCGCGCCGACAATAACGACCGAAGAGGGACGAACGAAAACGAACGAAGATTCTTCGCGGGGGGGGGAAGGGGGGGGCCTCGGGCACCGCCAACCTGGAGCCCGCCATCCCCGAGGGTCATCTGCGTCCGTCTCCTCGCCCCCCAAGCGATGCGTCGCCGATGGATCGGCGATAAGCCCCCGATAACGGTTTCGCGCGTTCGTGGGCAAGGCGGGGCACCCAAGCCCCGATCGGCGATAATTGAACGATTGGAGGTCGATGTCCGGCCCCTAGGCCAGCCCCCCCCTGTCGCTGCCCCCTGGGTCTGCGCGGCCTGCGAGGCCAGCGCCGGTGGAAGCGCCGGTGCCGGTGGTCGCGCGACATCCATCGCCGGGCTGGGCAACGTTCGGATCCTTGCCCTTGCCCCTCCCTTTCCTCCCGCGCTTGCTGCCCGTGAGGCTGCCGCCGGCGTCCGTCTGGGGCGGCGGCTGGGCGGACCTCGCGAAACCGAGGGACAGCCCAGAAAATATTCCTAACGAGTCTGCCGAGGGTGGCTGTCTAGCGTCGGGGGCCACCAACCCTGCCTGCGGGGTGACGGGCGGCTCTGTTGGGCGGCTCGGTGACGGCACCCCCAGGGGCACGTACTCCCCGGTAGCCCTCGGGAGTTCGATGATGCTCTGGAGCTCTCTGAGGAGATCGTTCCCCTGCGCCTGGTCGGCCTGGGTGTCGCGGCCGTCGTGCAATTTCCGCTTCTCCTCTCAGGCGGCCCGTAGTAGAGCGCTAAGAGGGATCAGAGGGCTACGAGGGCTCAAGAGGGCTAAGAGGCCCAGGAGGACTAAGCAAGCTAAGATGGCCACGAGGGCTACGAGGGCCACGAGGGCTACGTGGGCCACGAGGGCCACGAGGGCCACGAGGGCCACGGGGGCTACGAGGGCTAAGAGGGCCACGAGGGCTAAGAGGGCCACGAGGGATCACAGGGCTACGAGGGCCACGAGGGCTAAGAGGGCCACGAGGGCTACGAGGGCTCAGAGGGCTAAGAGGGCCACGAGGGCTCAGAGGGCTAAGATGGCCACGAGGGCTCAGAGGGCAAGAAGGGATAGGAGGGTTAAGAGGGCTAGGATGGCTAAGAGGGCTGAAAGGTTTAAAAAGGGTAAGAGGGCAGGGAGAGCTGAGGGCTAACAGAGCTAAGAGGGCTAAGAAGGATAGGAGGACTGGAAAGGCTGAGAGGGCTAAGAGGGCAAAAAAAAACTACAAGGGGTACTCGGGCTACGAGGGCGGGGAGGGCTAAGAGGGCTGAGAGGGCTCCTGCACGATCTTGCTCTCGGACCTCTTGACGAGGCGGATCGGCGCGCTCGGGACGCGCACCTCGCGCCTGCCATGCTCGAACGTCTCCACGTGGCCGAGGCCGTTCTTCTTCGGGTCGCCCTTCATGCTCACGTAGTAATCATAATCCCATAATTGGTCATCTGGATCGCACACCTCGACCTTCTTCTCGCTCAAGTAGTTGATCTGGCGCTTGTCCACATCGGCCCAAGCGACGCGGCTCTTGCGCCCCTCCTCGCTGTCCTTGTAGATCTCGATCAAGCTGGCGCGATACCCCGTGAACTTGGTGCGAAGGTCCCCGGAGCCCGCTGCCGCCAAGTCAACGACCAGCTTCTCCAGGGAGATCCCATGGATCCTGTACCTGGCTGTATGGACCTGCAGGCAATAGTAGCACACCGAGCCCGCTTGCGCTCTGGTGCGCCTCGAAGGCGGCGACCAACTGATCGGCTGGGTCACCCCGTAGGCCGCGTCCACGGGGTCGGGGTCCGTGTCCACCACTCCACAACACTTGCAAATACGCCCGTCCGGTGGGCCTCCGATGCGGACGCACATCTGCTGGACATGGAGCGGGGTGCTGTCGGACATGGCGACGCCCGTCTGCTGGGGCGGGAAAGCGGGTCACGCGGTTCGGGAGCGCGCCTCAAGGGCCCTCGAGGCTAAAGCCGGCTACGCACGAAAGGACATCAACGGTGCCGAGGAAGGAACCCCACCGGCCCTTTCCCCAGACCTAAGCTACCTATCTTCGCGCGTCTCGCCCCGCGACGCGTGGTTATCTCCGCGCTCTCGCGCCGCCGCCCTGGAGAAGGGCGACCCTCCTGCTCTGGCCGCGACGCGCGGGGCGCGATTATCTTCGCAACCATGGGGGTGACTTAGCGAACGGGCCCCCACGCCCCACCTGCAGAATTGCAAAATTGACCGGGTGGGCCTGGTCGCCCTTTCCTGCCAGGAGGAGGGGCAGGAGAGGAGAGAGCGACGCGGGGCGCTCTCTTCACAAAGAGGACCCAACGCCACAAGCCCCTGGAAAGGTTCCAATATGCCCCAAGCTCTTCAAGGCCCTCCTGAGACCCCTTGCGCCCCCATCTTGAGCACTGTTGGATCCCTCCTGGGCCCCTTGGAGCCCCCATGGGGCTATCTTGATCCGTATATTCGGGCATGTTGCGCTGCGTGCTGCTACGCTTCGCGCTGCTACACTTCCCCGATCCAGGCAACTCGCCAAAGCATGCTCTCTGGACTATACGCGAAGCGTCAGAGATGCCCCCAATCCCAAAGAGCGAGCAAAGGGCGGATTCTCGACCGCGAGCCGCCAACGACCCCCGCTCCTGGGCCACCCCGTCTACGCAAGCGCAAACCCAAACCCGAAATCTCTTGCTGGCTAACCCCCGAGCCAGCGCGCGATGAGTCGCAGCGGCCATCGCGCGAGAGATAATTGACTTGGCGGAGACCTAGCCAAGGGGCGAGCACTGCAGAGGGGGGGGAGGGCGGGGCTTCTGAAACATAGCTTGGTTCTGACCTCGTGGAGTTTCCCCCGGTCGGGAGAGGGGGGGGCGAGGTGGCGGGCCAGGATCGAGCGGCGGGGCTCAATCAGTCAGAGTCGTCAGAGTCGCCAGAGCTCGAGGACGAGCTTGACGCAGTCGAACTCGAGGCAGGCTGCTCGCCCTCCTCGGCTGCCCTCTCGCCAGGCTGGTCGGGCTCACCCTCGTGGCCCGCCTGGCCCCTCTCCACGGGGGCACTCGGGATCTGGCCGAAGAGACTCAAGGCCACGAGGGAGATCACCGCGCAGGCGAAAGCGCTGAAGGCGTTCCCAGCCAGAGAAACTATTGCGCTGGGATCGAACTTCTGCTTGAGCGGCGGGCCTACCGCGAAGTCCCAGCCGACCATCTGCATGACCTCGAAAGCTTCCAAGGCGCGCAACCTGCTCTCAGGTTCGCCGGTGCTGGAATACTCACTGGGCACGTAAGTCCTCATCACGATCTGCGCGTGGGCGATGAACGTCGGTGGCCGCAGGGTCCACGGGTCCCTCGGCTCTTTCTGCTGGCGCTCGCTGAGCTTGACACCGATGAGCCTCGTCAAACTGCAAGCGGCGTCGAAGAAATCCACCCTCCGGCCGTTCACGAGGTCCCCCACGGGTCCGAAAGCAAAGTCGAGGAAGTACGCGAGCTCCACCTGCCTCTGGTTCAAGCCCTCCTTTGTGATGTGAGAGGTCATCTTGTCCGAAGGGGGCCATGTCAAGTTATGGTCCCTGTAGAAGGTATTGTGCTCATCTCGCCAACCGACCGTCGGGTCGTCGCTGCCACCCCTCTCCCCCCAGGGAACCAAACTCTTGTCCGACATGAAGGTCTCGCGGGCCTGGCGGGGCTCGATCACGAAGTCGTGGATGCCGAAAAAGTCCGGAGCGCGCATGGCCAGCATGAGGTCCCGGGCGTGCAGGCCGAGGGCCGCGCGGTGCTCACCAACGTCGTGGATAGCAAGCAAGTACAAACGATTCCGGGGGACAGGTGACCCGTACTCGGCAGTGTCGAAGACCTTCCAGAAGCACCAGTAGTTCATGCTATCGAACTGGGACACGAGATAATCGATTTCGCGATCTCCAACCTCTCCCTCAATCAGGGTCTCCACGTTCTCGACCAACGCCACCCTCGGCTTGGCCCGTCGCACGTACTCCAGCGAGTCCTGGAAGGGTAGCAGGAGGGAGGGGAGAAATGAGGACGAGACACGACCCGACCAGAAAGGCCTTACATAACGAATTCAACGAAAAACGTACGGAGGCGTGCGCGCTCAGCCCCTGGGTTCGCTTGCCTCGAGGCTCAGTGCGCTCGACGCTCGAAGCCTTGAGAGGCTCGCTGGTGGTAAGCAGCGGAGGTAGGGGATAGGGCCGGTATGGAAGGCACAATTAGGAGTTGACTGAATGTCACTGGGGACGAAGGGGAACGGAAGTAGAGGGACGAGGAGGTGGGGGTGGGAAGCGGGAGAGAGGGGGGGAGGTGAGAGGGAGCGAGACTGAGAAATGGACAGCTACCAGCACTGCCAGCTGCTTACCAATCAGCTCAGCGATGCTTCATGCGCCCCCCGGGCCCCCGGGGGGGCCCAGGTCGGGTGGCCGAGTGACGGCCATATTGACTTCAGAAGTGCAGGATGGAAAGGGACTGCGCGCGTGCTGTCTCCTCCTCCTCCTCCTCCTCGGATGTCCATTGCCTCTTCCCCCATACCATATCCTCCATCGCTCTCTCTCTCTCTCTCCCTCAAGTGATCGCCCCCAGTGCCTCTTCAGCGCATCGACCATGGCACTGGCATCACGCACCACCTCGACCTCCTCAAGGGCCCGCGCCCCCTGCGCCGCCACTTCGTGGCCATATTGGGCGCCTCTTGGGCCGTCTTCGGAGCTTTTTCGGCTCTCTGGGGAGCCGTCCTGAGGGTCTCCTGGGCCGCTTTCGAAGCCAGTTGGGCTCGCTTGGGGGCCTCCTGGGGGGCCGCCGAGGGCACCTAAAAAGGTTCCAACGGAGTTCACAGTGGGCGCGTCCAGAAAAATATTATATTTTTCTGGGTGGTCTCTCTTGGGCATCGTCTTGGGCGCCTCTTGGGCCGTCCTGGGAGCGTATTTCGCTCTCAGGGGAGCCGGCTTGGGAGGCTCCTGGGCCGTCTTCGAGGCTTGTTCGGCTCTCTTGGGCCTTTCCTGGGGGGGCGCCAAGGGCACTTCAAAAGCTTCGAGCGGGGTCTACGATGGGCGCGCCCAGAAAAATATTATATTTTTCTGGGTGGTGTTCTTCGGAGTCGTCTTGGGGGCCTCTGTGGCTGCTTGGGGGGCCTCTTGCGCAGTCTGGGGGCCCTCCTGGGAAGGCCCCAAGGGCTCCTCACAAGCTCTGAGCGGACCCCTGCGAAGGGCGCCCCCTAAAACATAGTGTCTTTTTCAGGGTCAAGGGTCACGCCCCGAAAATTTGGCCCCGGCTGGTCCGCACAGCGGATGCTGATCCTGGCTGGCGTGAGGCAGGGCCAGAAGCCCAGCATGGGGCGGGAAGAAAATGGCCACGAAGTGGCGGCGCAGGGGGCGCGGGCCCTTGAGGAGGTCGAGGTGGTGCGTGATGCCAGTGCCATGGTCGATGCGCTGAAGAGGCACTGGGGGCGATTACTTGAGGGAGAGAGAGAGCGATGGAGGATATGTTATGGGGGAAGAGGCAATGGACACACCTCTTGTTATCTGCAAACGGTCACGGCGGCCTTTGCTAAACGCACATCCATCATCATCATCACCATCTTCATCTTCATCTTCATCATCATCATCAGCCGAAAGAGGGGGAAGCTCGCCAAAACGATGTTCTACCGCGAAAGGGTTGCATCATCATCATCCTCATCATCATCATCACCATCGTCACCACCACCATCATCAACATCATCATCATCAGCACCATCATGATCATCATCATCAGCATCATCATGATCATCATCATCATCATCATCAGCATCAGCACCATCATCATCATCACCACCATGCTCATCCACCTCCTCGTCCACCTGCTGATCCTCGTCCTCCTCTTCCTCCTCCTCATCCCTCCTCTCCCTCCCTCCTCCCCGCTCCCTCCTCCCTCCCCCCTCCTCTTCCCCCCCCCTCCCTCCTCTTTCCCCTCCACATTCTTCTCCTCTGCGCCTGTCGGCCAAGGGAGGGGGGGGCTCGCCAAAACATCCAGCCGCTGCCGGAGTCGCCCCCACGGGTAATTTTTCATCCTGGGCCCGCTTCCGACGGCCCTGGGGTCCGAGGGCGGCCCGCGGGGGGGCGGGGGGCACAAACATAACGAGGGGGGATAAAAGGCGGTGGAAGGGCGGGGGGCGATGGGGGGGTCGGAAGGGGGCAGGCGGAGGATGAGGATGGCGGAGGGGGGGGGGTCCTTGAAGCCTTCGCCAGTGCATGCCGTCCCCTCGGCGATGCACTTCTTGTTGCGGGTGCGATTCGGGTTCAGCTTCGACTTGGCCTTGCACGGGGGGCCGAAGGCGACCCAGTCCACGCTCGGAATCTCGGCGTCGCCGAGCAAGGCCTCGACCGACTTGAACATCCGCTCGGGCGCGGTCTCCCTAATCCACGATCGTTTCACCGCGCTCTTCTCGGCAGAGAACACGTGGCGGAAGCGCAGTCGGCAGCCTGTCGAATCGGCTACCTCCAAGGCGATGTCGCGCCAGACCCTCAGCGCTATGTCGGACCCGGAGAAGAGGGTGCCCACGCTGATCTCCGACTCCTTGTCGCCGTCCAGGGCCAGGCGGCTGTCCAGGGCCACGATGGCCCTGACGAAGTCGAGCCTCAGGGGGCCGTGGAGATTGTCGACGTACTGACGGATCGCACGGCGCAAAGGTGAGCAACCAGCGGAGACGGCCGCCGCCGTCGCGTCCTCGGATAGCGGCGGCGACGGCCCGCCGCCATCCCCATCGAGGTCGGGGTCGACCTGAGGGGAAGGCGGGCACGGAACACTCACTGCAACTACTGCAGCGCGTGGCGTCAGGGAAACTTCCTGGACGCCCCCTTGGCGTCAGGGAAGTTTCCCTGGCACCCCGCGTTGGCGCCAGGGAAACTCCCAGACGCGCCCTTGCAATGATTTCAACGGGGGGCGCGTCAGTGCAATTTCCCTGACGCCCTGCCCTAATAGCGGCAATGCGACGTTGGTAATTGTTGCAATAGTTGAAACAGCGGAGCGTCAGGGAAATTTCCCTGACGCCCCCCCGTCAGGGAAACTACCCTGACGCTCGACAACTATTGCATTCGGCGTTTTCTCGAGACATCCTAATATCGGCAACGTCTTGCGTCACCGATTAACCTCTATTCGGAGGGGGGCGTCAGGGAAAGTTCCCTGACGCTCCACCGTTGCAACTATTGCGACAGTTGCCAGATTTCCATTGCCGCAATGATGGCAGGGCGTCAAGGAAATTCCCCCGACGCCCCCCCGTTGCAAAGATTGCGAAGGCAGTGCGTCAAGGAATCTCCGTTGACGCAGGCCCGCCAACAAGTGCAGGGGGGGGGCGTCCGGGAAGTTCCCCTGACGCCCCTGTCCGCAACAATTGCAAGGGCGTCGCGGCAACGAAGTTGCATTGACCACTATTGCAAGGGTGCGCCCTCCTGAGGCTCCATCGGGAGCTCCCCCGCCCTGCCCTGGCCTCCTCTTTGAGCTCCAAGAGAGCAGTCCCTGGAGGGCCCGAGGAGGGCCCCCAGAAGGCTCCAAGAGCGGCCCCATGCGGGCACCCCGCTGTCAAGCTGGTGGCCCTCGTCCTTGACAGCAGGGGGGCTCGTCTTGGAGCCTTCCTGGCCCCCTCCTGAGGCTCTAACCTGGCCCTGGCCCCCTGTCGAGGCTCTAAGGGGGCCCCCAGAGTGCCCCAGGAGACCCCCAGGAAGGTTCCACGAGGGGGCCCAAGCGGGCCCTCATGCTGTCAAGCTGGCGGCCCTAGTCCTCGACAGCAGGGGGGGCTCCTCTTGGGGGGGGGGCCAGGCCAGGTCTGGCCCGAGACGGCGGGAGCTGGACCTGACACTAGGCCCGATTGGGCCCCTCTTGGGGCCCTCTCGGGCCCCTCCACGGGCCCTAGGGGGGCCTAGGAGGGCCCAGGGCGGCGGGGGCCGGACCTGACATGGGGCCCCATTGGGTCCCTCTTGGAGCTCTCTATGGGCCCTCTTGGCGGGTCCCTCTTAGAGCTCTCTAAGGGCCCTCTTGGGCCGCTGGGCGTGCGTGTCCAAGGGGGGGGGCCTCGAAGTCCACGCCCACCTCAGGAAGCGAGGCGCCGACGGCGAACAGCTCCTCCTCCAGCGTCATCTCCTCGGCAACGTCAACGCCAGATATCTTGGCCAGGGTGTCGCCCCCGTGGAAGTCGACGCCCTCGAGCTCGGAAATATCCATGACCTCCTCCAAGTGCTTGCTCATGTCGTCCCTTGAGCCAGAGGGGAGAGCATTCACGTTCTCGATCACAACGCGTGCCGTCGCGACCTGCTCCCCCGCGGGGGCGGCCGCCCCCTCCGCCGGCGCCCCCGCGTCGGCCGCGCAGCTCTCCTCCACGGCCATCGGCGCCGCGATCACCATGTGCGCCGGCGCGACCTGCTCCTCCACGGACGCGGCCGCCCCCTCCACCGGCGCCCCCGTCTCGGCCGCGCGGGCCTCCTCGGCCGTCGGCGCTGCCGCTGCGGGGCTGGGGGCGCACGCGCGCGCCGGCGGCTCGGGGTCATCGAAGATGTCCGCGAGCAGGTCATCCGCCTGATCGCCGCGACGCCGTGGCGAGCCCGGCTGCCTGGGCTCGGTCGACGCGGGGCTAGCTGGAGATTGCGCCCCCACGCCGACCCCCCTGGCGACGCCGGCGGGCTGCGTCGCCACCTCGACGCCGGTCAAATCAGGTGTGGTAGTCTTGGGCTTCTTGGTGAAAGTCAGAGGCTGAAGCTTGGGCGCAGCGCGACCGCGAGGCTTCTTGGGGGCCATCGGAAAGCCAGCAATCGCCGCGAGAGTTCTGGCGGGGCGGGGGAATCAACAAGGCTCGAAGCTGCGGCAGCTGCGATCCCCCCCCTTCTCCGCGACCCTCGCCCCCTCCCCCGAGAACTAAGTCGCCAAACTCTGCGCCCCGCGATGCGCGACGCGAGGCGGTCTTCGCGCCCTCGCGCCGCCCCTCTGGAGAAGGGCCCCGTTGCGGCCTGGGCCGCGATCCATGCGATTATCTTCGCGCCCCTGCGGGTGGCGTAGAAGGACGGGGGATTGGGGGGCGGAGGGGGGGGGGCGGGCCTGCAGCGGCGACCGGCGACCTGACCCGAGACGAAAAGCTCCACTCCTCCTCCTCCCCCTCCTCCCCCCCTCACCCTCCTCCACCAACACTACTTCCACCTCCCCTGCCTCCAGCGCGATGTCTCGAGACAGGTGCGCCAAACCCTTCGGGGCTGCGCAGCCCACCTGGGCAGTTGCCGCCAAGAGGAGGAGGAGGAGGAGGAGGAGGAGGAGGAGGAGGAGGAGGAGGAGGAGCAGTAGGAGGAGGAGGAGCAGGAGCAGGAGGAGGAGGAGGAGGAGGAGGAGGAGGAGGAGGAGGAGGGGGCATCTTGGAGCTTCCCGGGGCCTTCCCCCGAAAAAGGCGCTTCGCCCGATAACAAAAACAGGGCCTGGCCCAAAACGTCCGAAAAGGCTTGTTCGGACGTTTTGGGCGGCACCTTGGTTTTCCACGTTTATAATAACATGTCTGCACGCGCGGCGCTATCAGCCGGGCGAAGGCCCCGAGGCGGCCCCAACAATGCACGACAAGGAAAAGGGACGCAGAGGCAGGGGGGAAAGTTCAACAGGGTCAGCGTGGACCCGTCGCCGCGCCGCCCACGGGGGCGGCTAGAACACCGCGCCAGCAGTCTCGGGGATGGACAGACCTCCCTTTAGTAAAACGTGGTTTAGTGAAAACGACTTCGGGCCCAAACCTGGCGGGCGCAAGTCTGGAAAATAACGGCCACGGCGCCCACTCGAAAACCGCAAACGGACAATTCACTAATCGACGTGTCACTATTGGGGGTTCTGTCCACCCCCGACAGTCGGCGAGCCTCACAACATCCGCTCCATGGCCTCCTCGGTCCAGTCGTCTGGGACCAGAGCCCGGAGCTGCTTCCCAATCTCGTGGACGTGCCTGGTGCGGCCGTCCTTCGCATGCTTCGGGATGTCCCTGCCGAGGAGCAGCCACCCCTTCACGAGCCGCCTCGCCTCCTCTGGAGTGCCAGACCCCACGTGCACTTGTTTTCCGCATCGGAGGGTGTCCCCCTCGTTGGCGTGACATGCGCAGGTCGCCCCCCGCGCCACCAAGCCTCTGCCCTGTTTCTCGATCGCGCCCGCCTGGGGGCGGCGCCGGCGGCGGAGGCGGATGTGCAGGACCAGGCGGGGCGGCTCCAGCGAGAGCCTGCGCGGGGGAGGACAGGCCCCAAGATGGCCCCAAGATGGCTCCCAAGAGGCCCCCAAGAGCCCCCGAAGAGAGGGGGCCTCTTGGGGACCTCTTGGGGGCCTCTTGGGGGCCTCAGGAGAGGGGGGAAAATATGGGAATCATGATTCCCATCTTTTCCCTTTGTTCTGATTCTGGGGGGCATCTTGGGCCCTGTCGGGGCCCTCTTGGAGCCCTCTTGGGGCTCTCTTGGGGCCTCCTGGGGCCCTCTTGGGGGGCCTCCTGCGACCTCTTCCAGGAGGGCCCCAAAGGGGCCAGAGGCTGTCACGAACAAAGCCTCTTTCCGTGACAGTTTGTCGGGGCCTCTCGAGGCCATCTTGGGGCCCTCCTGGGCCCCAGTAGACAGGGGCTGCGAGACCCGTCCGCCTCGCCCAAGAGCCCCCCTGGACCGCCAAGAGATCCCCGCGACGCCCCCAGAAGCCTCCAACAGGCTTCCAAGGGACATCCAAGAGGCATTCGAGATGCTCCTGGCTATCCTGTTGGTCCTCGTCCTCCTTCTCCTCCACCTCCCCCTCCTCCTCCGCCTCTCCCTCCTCCTCCTCCCCCCCCATCCTCCCCCCCTCCTCCTCCTCCTCCTCCTCCTCCTCCTCCTCCCCCTCCTCCCCCCCCCCCTTCCCTCCTCCTACTCATCACAATTTCCCCCTCTCCCTCGTGCATCCTTAGATCCAGCCTCCTCCTTCTCCTCACCCCTCCTTCGCCCGTTTCGGCCGCCCCCTCCTTGCCCCCGCGCTGCCCTGGACACCTCAACTCGCCTGGGCGTCGTTTCTGGATGGGCTGGTGGGGATGCGCGAAGCAGGCCAGGCCCCTGGAGGCCGCAACACGGGGAGGCCAGGGCGAGGAGGAGGTGGACGACGGAGGAATGGGTGATGGGAAGAGGGAGGAAGAGGAATTAATAGGGCCTTCGCCGCAGCCACGGCTTGGGCCTTGGCCTTGGCCTTCTTCGCGTTGCCCTCGGGCACGCCAAAGACCAGATCCTCCAAGTCGGACCCCTCGTCATCGCTGATCTCCGTCCAAGCGTGCAAGACATCGGTCCTGCGCCTCTTGCTCGTTGTCTCGCCCACGGCCTCCATCCCCAGCTCGAGTAGTGACTTCCACCTCTCCATGGCCGGGCCCAGCTTCACGCCGTCGTCGGCGTCGAAGGGCATGTCCAAGACGTTGTGGGCGGGCTTCTCCTCGAGAAGATCAATGCCGCGGCGCCTGTGCCGGACAACCAGGTGCGAAACTTCCAACTTGCTGATGCGCGGCGTCGCCATCTTCTCGCACCCCTGCACGATGCCTCTGAGAACCATCCCTGCGGTAAGCACCCAAGCCCTCCCATCAGGCTGCTTGGAGACGCACACCTTCCGCTGCTCGCCCGTGTCATCGAAGGTGGCCTTCGCGAGGATGGCGACGGCAGGCCGAGCCATGCGCACGTGCATAACCAGCGAAGTCATGGTTTTGACCGAGCCGTCTCGCCGAAACCCCCGAAACCTGACGAACTCACCAGCGAGGGGCTTCAAATACGTCTCCAGCCTGCGGAGGGCACGACTAATCTCAGACAAGCACCACGCATCCCTTGTTCGACACAACCCTGGGAATACCTTCCAACACGGCAGAGGCGCGTCAACCTTCGACCCGCTCGGGATGCTCGTCGAATCATCCACGATCAAGCTCTCCGCCATGCCCTCCCTGAGCTTGGCGCAGTAACGCCGGTGGCCACCGAGGTCCTTGTCGGCGTCGAGCCCCATCGCGCGCCTTGCCGCAGTCTCAAACCATTCTGAAGATATTGGAGACCATCGTGAACTCAAGCCCCAAAAGTTCGCGGCGATACGCTGGTCCAGCCGCTTCTCGTCCTCCGCCCGCACTTCCTGAAGCTCCCTCTCATCCGAAATACGCATGGACCAGTCAGCGTGGGCCTTGTGGGCCCACCCCTGCTTGGAGGTCTCCGACATGCACGACCACTCCATCTGGGCGTCCAACGTCACCTCAGAATACTGGTCGGCGGTGAGGTGTTCCACCCCGAGTTGCCGGCAACGCCGCTCTCGACAATGAGCGCGAAAAAGGATGAACCCGGAAGGGGGTTTCGATTTGGCCTTCTGACGGTTCGCTAAGATGGGGACATCATCGGCGATGAGCTGGCGGCGGGTGAAAAACCTTGGATCTTCGCCGCCCGACCCCAAATGCAGACCGAGGAGCTGCCCGAGCATGCCGACGGATGCAAGGCGCTCCGCGTTCGGCGCATCCGCGTGACCGACAGGGGGGGGGAGGAGGAGGAGGGAGGGGGAGGAGGAGGAGGAGGGAGGAGGAGGAGGAGGGAGGAGGGGAGGAGGAGGAGGAGGGAGGAGGAGGAGGAGGAGGGGGAGGAGGAGGGGGGGAGGAGGGGGAGGAGGGAGGGAGAGGGAGAGAAGGGCGAGGTGGCCGCCCACCTTTGCCAGTGATGCCGAGCTGGAGCTTCAGGGCGGCCAACATCCTCTCCACGTGCATGTTGGTCAACTTTGTCGCGCAGGCCCAGTGGCGCAGCGCTGCGATGAAATCGCAGTCCGCAAGCATCGCCTTGTCGTCGTCGCACATCGGCGGCGGGCCGGGGGGAAGGCAGATAGGGCAGGGCATCTTAGGAGGCAAGGGGCTTCGTTGGCCGTCGACGTCGTCGAAGTCGTCGTCGCCGTCACCCTTCCCCTACGTCGCCGCCGCCGACGTCGTCGGCGTCGTCGCCGACGACGTCGTCGTCGTCGCTGTCGACGTTGACGACGCGACGTCGAAGTCGACGTCGTCGACGGAGCCTTCTCAGAAGGCTGGAGGGCGTCTCAGAAACCCCAAACAGTTCGGCCCCCGCTGATTTCCCCATGGGCCCGCCGCCGAGTATAGGTAGCGAACTTTTAAGCTGAAGTCGCAGTCGAGGCAGCACTCCTCCTTGCTGAAGAACTCCTTGCAAACCTCTGCCTGGTCGGCGGCTGTCGCAGCAGGGCGGGCAAGAACTGCCAGCTGGAACGGAAACTCATCCATGCACAAGAATCTGAGCCAGACCTGCCCGGCCATATTAGCGACCATCTTAAAAGACAGCTCCATAGCCTTCTCGCCGCACTCGTAGTGGGCGAGGACCTCGCCAACAGCGGACCTCTGGGACAACGGGCTAACCAGCATGCGCGCCAGCCTCCTCTGGCAGAGAAGCACTGGAGATGTATCCTAGGAGGGCGCCAACTTCGACAACGCCAATCCTGGCCAGGTATATCCTGGGCCCAGAACTGGCGCACGCGCCCTCCTGGCTTGGCCAGGAAGGCGCACGCGCCAATCGTGGCCCCGGGATTGGCCTGGCACGGATCGGCGTTGGCGCATAGTTGGCACCCCCACCAGATTTCCTGCCGCACCGCATCCAGTAAGCAATTTCCAGCTGTGTCGAAATGCTGAAGTTGAGCCATGAGCTCGTCGATCGGCATTGTCACGAACCCAGCTATGGCGAGGAACATCGTCCGGTCGTCGTCCGACGAGATGCTGCGCGCCCGCCACGCCTTCGAGCGCAAGTACTGCCTTTGAGGAACAAAACACAACGTAAACGTAACATTTTGGACGTCCGCGCGGATTTGTTGGATCGGCGCTGGACCCCCCCCCCGTCGGCGCCGCTGGCGCCGCCCCTGGCGCGCCCCCCGCGCCATGGGCGGGGGGCCCAGCGCCGATCCAAGAAATGCGCACGGACCTCCCAAAGCTTACTTTGACGCTGTCTTTTGCTCCTCGACTTAGGGCGTGCCTCCCTCAAGTTTTATTTGCTCCTCCTCCTCCTCCTCCTCCTGCTGCCCCTCCCCCTCCTCCTCCCCCCTCCTCCTCCACCTCCTCCTCCTCCCTCCTCCTCCTTATCCTCCTCCTCCCTCCTCCTCTTCCTCCTCCTCCTTCCCCCCCCTCGCCCTCCCCCCCTCCTCCCCCTGCTATGTAAGGGGGGCCAAAACTTGAGGGAGGCATGGCATAACACTCGACGCCTATACTCGTCGCCGCCATCCCTGTCCCACTGCTCACGCAAGCTGCTGAGCACCGAAGTCAAGCACTGCGGGAGCACCTCCGGGGCAAGCGCCGCCCATCCTCCGCCTCGCCCCCCCTCCTCCACCCCCCCCTTCCCCCCCCATCCTTCCCCCCTCCTCCCTCTCCTCCCCCTCGCCCCCCACGTCCGCCCTCCGTGCTCATCTTGGCGCGCCCGGCAACCCGATGGAGCATGGAGAAGAGCGCGATGGTGCCCGCCGCCGCCGACGCTGTGCCCCATCTGTTAGCTGATGGAACCAGTGCGTCGGACCCGAGGACGGCGCAAACCTCCAGCAAGGCGCTGTAGGTGCATTCGCGCGTCTCGTCAGGCGATGAACACCTGCACACGCCTGGCTCACAGTGGTGCACGATCTTGGGCTGGGACCAGTCGCCGTTGCAAAAGTGTCCACGGCAGTCCCGAGATGCCGCCAGGAAGGGTTGGAGGGCGACAAATCCCACGACCGCTCCAGGACGCCCAAATGCGCCCGAGAGGCCACGCAATGCGGCCCAAGAGTGCCCCGAGAAGACCCCGCGAAAGGGCCCGAGAGGCAGCGATCATTGATCTTCCCTGGGCACTGGCTGGATTTCAGCTCCATCGATGCGGCCCCAAGGCGAGGATCCCAGGAAGCCCAAGCGAGGGCCCCAAGAAATCCTGAAGAAGCCCCTGAAAGACCCGGAGAATTTCCCCGAGCCCCCGAGAGCCCTCTCCTCCCCCCCGACACCCTGGGACGTATCCGAAAGGGCTCTGACCTGCGACCCTCGCGCGTTGGCGGGATGGGCCGAAGGCCACTAGATAGTAAGTTGTCGATCCTCGCCCTCTGGAGATCGCTGGGGATCTCGCAGCCCCTGGCCCCGGCGGAATTTAAATCGCCCAACTTCACGCATCGCACCCCGCTGTGCGCGGCGCGGTTATCTTCGCGCCCTCGCGAGGCCGCCTCGGAGAAAGGCAGCGGCCGCCCGGCCCAGGCCGCGACGCGCGAAGCGCGATTATCATCGCACCCCTGGGGGAGCGGGGGTCCGCGAGGGGGCGGGGAGATCGACGAAGGGGCGAGGAGGGGGAGGGCCTGCACAGCGCGCGCTCCGCCAACGTCTTGTTGCGCTGGCACAGGACACTCGGCGCCGGCGTCCTCACGATGGACATGTCCGACACGAGCTTCCAGAGCTCCTCCTGGAGCAGCGCCTCGGCGAAGACGACGACGACGACGACGACGACGACGACGACGACGACGACGACGACAACGACGACGACGACTACGACGACGACGACGACGGGAGCGGGGGAGGGGGAGGAGGAGGGGAAGGAGGAGGAGGAGGAGGAGGAGGAGGAGGAGGAGCAAGGGGAGGAGGAGGAGGAGGGGGGGGAGGAGGAGGAGGAGGGGAGGAGGAGGAGGAGGAGGAGGAGGAGGAGGAGGGAGGAGGAGTGGAGTAGGAGGAGGAGGAGAGGAGGAGGAGGAGGAGGAGGAGGAGGAGGAGGAAAGGGGGAGAGGAGGAGGAGAGGAGGAGGGGGAGATGGCGCGCCTGGTACCTGACGTTCACCGCTGTAATCACCATCGCGTGAACGTCGCCGACCACGTCGTTCTCCGGGACGGCCGACACCACGACCCTGTGCAACGTGTGGGCCAAGCATCTGGCAGCGGGTTGCGTATTCCTCCCCCATCCTCCTCTATCTGCTCCTCCTCACCCTCCTCCTCCTCCCCCATCCGCCCCCCGCGTCTCCTCCTCCACCTCCTTCCCCAATATCCCTCATCATTCTCATCCCCTCCTCCTCCTCCCCGCCCCTCCACCCCTTTCCCCTATCCCCATTCTGCTACCTCCCCCGACCTGCACCTCCTCCCCCGCCCCCCTCCGCCCTCATCCCCCATTCATTCCCTCGTCCGCCCCCATCCTCCATTGGTTAAACCAAAGCTCCTTGGCTGTTGATGAGGATGTTGCCAGCGTCCCTCAGCCTGGTCGCCTCGAACGCTTTTTTCCTGAGTTTGGCGAGGCCCACGCATGTCCACCACCCCTGGCCACGCCCTTCCTGGGCCCAGGAGCGGCATAGAAGTGCGCCCTCCAGGCTTGGCCTGGAAGGCATGCGCACTGCTCCTGGGCCCCGGGTGGGCCTGGCCACGGGTAGTGGGCACGCGTGGACATCGTCGCCCGACTCCTGACGTTGCTGGAAGCGCAGTCCGGATTGTCATTGATGATAATGGCCTTGCACTGCTCAGCCAAACGCAGGAGGGCCTCCAAGCTGAGGCCATCAATGCCCTTCTCCGACGCAGCGAAGATGCACGACGCATTGGCCCTGCCGAGGATGCACGGGGGGCAGACGACGCGCCGTCGCTCGACAATCCGACGAGGCCCGGGCTCGATCAGATCGACGACGCCCTGCTGCATGAACACTTCGAGGACGCCAAATCACACCAACCCTCTGGGCGAGGGTGGCTTTGGTAGCGCGTCCTGTTAAACCCATCTACTTCCCATTCGGGGAGGAGGTTACCCCTTCCCACCTCCCCCTTCCCCCTCTTTCTCCGCCTGTTCCTGTTATCCGCCACCCTCCTCTCTCCCCCTGCGCTTCCTCCTCCCCCTCCTCCCCCCCCTCCCCCTCGTTCGAGAACATCCGCGGTGATGGGCGCGGTTCGCTCCTGGACTGCCTGCTGCTGCACGCCCCTCATCAGGGCACCTCGCTCGGCGGCTGACTCGTTTGATTTGGTTGGCGGGGATATTTTACTCTTTTGATTTGCGGCTCCAAGGGCGATTCCAGAGAGCGGGTCGAAGTTGGCGGGGATACTTTTTTGATTTGTGGCCCGCAAGGAAAAGTCCAGAGGGCGGAATGCTTGGCGGGGACACGCGAAGCGTGAAGAATTTCAGCCGCCTGCCAAGGCCCGTCCTCCGACACTGGTCGTGAGATACCAATTTGTACTTGCCCTGGCCATCCTTGATGGCGTACCTGGCCAAGGGGATCAGCTGCTGCGCCACTGCGGACTTCGCGAAGCTGACGCGCATCGGGGTGGCGTCGTAGCTTCGGCCCACGATGAGCGACGCCTTGCGGGGCGGGGGCAGAGAAATTTGCCAGCCCAACGGGCCAGAGGCGTGCTAAGATCTCTGGTAACTGCTAAAGAATACTTCTACTTCGCGCGCCCGGGGCGGCCCCTGGGGGCACCCGGGCGAAAATTACCCCAGGCGATCCCCGGCAGACTCGGGTCAGAGATGGGTTTCCTCCTGGGCGCCGCCCCCACAGCCCTCCAGAGAGCCCCAAGAAGGGCCACGAGGCCGCCAGGAGCCCTCCAAGACGGTTCACGAGTGCTCCGAGATGCCGCACGATCGTTCCAAGACGCCCAAGATGGCCCCCAGACGCCCCGAGAGGCCTCCGAGAGCACTCCCCAGAGGGCCCCAACAGGCAACATTCTTTAATTGTTTAAGGTTTTGGGCAGATGTTGGCGCGTCCATCTTTTCGGCCCCCCGACGCCCCAAGACGGCCCAAGGCCCCCAAGATCGCCACAAGAGGACCCAAGAAGCCCCCGAGAAGGCCCCAGGATTGCCCAAGAGGGCTCCAAGACGGCCCCAGAGGCATCCAAGACGGCCCAAGAGGGGCCCAAGAGGGCCCCAAGCGATGCCCCAAAGGGGGAACACAAAACAAAACTTCGAGCCCTCGACCTTAAGAAGCCCCCAGGCGGCCTCGAGAGGCCCCTGAGAGGCCCCAAAAGCCCCCAGGAGGCCCTCCGGAGGCCCCCGAGCGACGCTGAAGAGGCCCCCCAGCGGCCCCGAGAGGCTCAGCCATGCGAAATGGGCCGGCGGAATGAGCGAAGTCATTCAATAAACTATTCGTCGTCGTCGTCGTCGTCGTCGTCGGCGTCGTCGTCGTCGTCGTCGTCGTCGTCGTCGTCGTCGTCGTCGTCTCCGTCGTTGTCGTCGTCGTCGTCGTCGTCGTCGCCGTCGTCGTCGTCTGACGTCGTCGTCGCCGCCGCCCGCCCCGTCGCGGCAGCGGGCCCGGGCCACCCCAGGGTCCGTTCTCGTTCAGGATGGCTCCAGGGCGGCGTCCGAAGATGGCCCCCAAGATTGATCAATATGGCTCAAGGCGGCCCGGGCCTGACGCCGCGATCGGGGGCGGGGAGGAGCATTTGTCTGCCCTCGCCTTCCGGCCGAACTCCTGGACACGCCCGAGGAACTTGGCCAGCTCGTCCCTCTGGAGCTCGACGGCCGCCTGCGCCACGCCGATCGGGGCGTCGATGTTCCTGGACCCGTCGATGCCCATGGCGTTCCTGGCCACCTTGGAGGGCCCCATGGAACCCTCGTCCCACATCCTCCCAGATCGTCCACCTCCTCCCCTCCACCTCCTCCTCCTCCTCCTCCTCCTCCTCTCCTCCTCCCGCCTCCTCCTCCTCCTCCTCCTCCTCCTCCTCCTTCCTCCTCCTCCCCCTCCTCCTCCTCCTCCTCCTCCTCCTTCCTCCTCTCCTCCTCCTCCTCCTCCTCCTCCTCCTCCCCCATCCCCGCCCCTGTCGTCGTCGTCGTCGCCGCACCTTCCCCACAGATCTGAAAGCGACCCGGATGACGCCGTCGACGGCCCACGTGTCGCCGTGAACCTGCTTCTTCTGGGACCAGGACGCCCTCGCGAAGTCGCCCACGCGCAGCCGCTGCTTCGTCCAGCCGCGGGCGAGCTTGTCCCTCTGGAGCGTCACCTTCGCGAGCTTCCTCTCGCACTGCTGTCTCACCTGCGGGGCCCCGAACCCACCCTCATCCCCCTCGCTCTCCGTCCCGCATCCTCCTCGTCCTCATCTTCATCCTCCTCCTCCCCCACCCCCTCCTCCTCCTCCTCCTCCTCCCTCCTCTTCCTCTCCTCCTCTTCCTCCTTCCTCCTCCTCCTCCTCCTCCTCCCCCTCCTCCTCCTCCTCCTCCTCCTCCTCCTCCTCCTCCTCCCCCTCCTCCTCCTCCTCCTCCCCCATTGGCAGCAGCAGCATGGTCGCCTTTTTCCGAGCTTTCTTCAGCAAGAACGACGCGCGGCTGCAGCCCGCGCGAACGCTGCGACCCGCGACGAGCTGCGGCGGCGGCCGCGCCGCGCGGAGCTCGTCGAGCGCGGCGGGCGCAGCGCGGTCGCCCAGCACGGTGGCCAAGCCGGATGCCAGGTCGACCCTGGCCGCAGCAAGGGCCTCTAATTCCTCCATCGCTGCCACGCTGGGCCGCGGAGCTACACGCAGGGCCGAGCACCCCCGTGCTCGTGCCTGAATGAGGAGGAGGACGAGGATCAGGGGGGTGTAAGACCCGGGTACAGGGGACTCGGAAATACCCGACGAGGTCGTCAAAAAATGACGAGGCCGAGCCTGCATTTTGACGAGGCCTCCCGCTGCAGACATCCCACGAAACTCCTACTCGTCAAAATCCGAGTCGCGGTCGTCAAAAAACGATGGCGAACCCGAGTCCTGGCGAACCCGGGTCTCACGCTCCCCCGAGAGGAGGAGGAACAGGAGGAGGAGGAGGAGGAGGCAGGTGGCAGAAGGGATTGGGGAGTAGGGGGGGAGGCACAGGAGGGAGGGGGGCAGGCTGCTGCTGATGCTGCTGCTGTTGCTGGTGCTCCCTCTCCTCCCTCTCCTCCTCCTTCCTCCTCCTCCTCCTCCGCCTCCTCCCTCCTCTCCTCCTCCACCTCCTCCTCCTCCTCCTCGTCCTCCTCCACCTCCACCTCCACCTCCTCCCTCCTCCTCCTCCTCCTCCTCCTCTCCTCCTTCCTCCTCCTCCTCCTCCTCCTCCTCCACCCCTCCTCTCACCTCCTCGTCATCCTTCTCCACTTTCTCCGCCTCTCCGCCTGTTTTTTTATTGCATATGGCTAGACTATGCGGAGCTCGCTACGACGCCCCTGAAGCGCAGCGACTAATAGCGGCTAATGCCGGCAATTCCGGCATGGTTGTTTTAATGGTTATCGGGGGGGACCCCACGTTTGTGAGCCCTGCGGGCAACCCAACCAATTCTGCCAAGGCCGAATCAGGTAATCTTTCGAAGTCCGTGGGAGTCATCATATCAACTCCAAGTCCTGCCTTGGCTTTCATCTGGCGCAGCGCACGTCGGATATCTGGGACCGAGATCATGGGCAGATCCTCATCCACCGCCACTTGGTGAATAGAGTGAAATGTGTCCTGAACCTCTTTCTCATTCAAGGCTGACGGCGACCAAAAAGAGTGCCAGTGCTTCGACTTCGCGTCAATGATATCCCTTGGATGGTAAAGCACTTGGTCATCCTGCTCATAATCCAGCCCTGGAAGTGCCTGCCCGTGAAGAGACTTGTGCAGGGTGCCTAAGGACTCCACCTGCACGAAAAACTCCTTGAACCCAGCAATTGATCCACTGACTGCCCGTCTCTGTGCACGATTCATGACACGACGTGAGGTACACTCATAACTCTGCAGAACTGGGAGCGCGCAAGTGCCAGCCGTCCTGATGATCGTGATCCACTCATCCCAGGGCGGGTCCTTAGCGGCAATCAATACCTTGGCCAACCCTTCTGGCCTGTCATCAACGTGCCGTTGACAAGCCTGAAGGTAACGTTCCAGCTGCTTGGCTCCGTTCCCTCTGGAGCGGTGAAGAGCAATGGCGTTTAAGAGAGTGAAGAGTTGGGTCCACCAGGCACTCACACGATCACGGAGCGGGGTGGCCCTGCCTTTCTCAGGCATCTTGACTGTCTGCACTGTGAATCTGGCCCCCTGAGCTCGGGTTGGCCCAGGAGGGGCTGGCACATTGTGATGAGCAGAAATACAGCGTTCAACAGCCGAAACCCATGATGCATATAACCCTGAAATCACTGCCAGGTGAGCTGGCTTGAGCCGAAAGGCTACTGACTGATGGAAAGCAGGAGCAAGGGACTCGAGCGAGAAACCACCAGGCGTGAAACCCACGGCACGTCGACATTCATCCCACAACTCAAGAGGTATGGCAAAGGATGGCTCCTGGTTAGCGGGTGAGGCTCCACCGTGTGACACATCCTGACTAGAGGCTTCCTGGGTTTCCAAGGCTGGTGGCCCCGACGGAGACGCGGGATGGCCAATCGTGTCCGAAGGACCTCCGGGTCGGCTGGCGTGGTCGGGACCCGCCTCTTGCGAAGCAGCACTAGGGCCGCCGCGCCCCAGGCCCCCAGCCACTGTGAGATCCCCAGGAGAAACCGACGAATTCGAAAAAAACCTGGCATACCGACAAATCCGAGCAAACATTGAGCTCCTGAGCCCAAGGGTCTTCCTCCTCGGGCCATTCGCCAAAGTCGATTTTTAAACTAACAGTACCTGGCACCCTATCCCCCGCAAACGGAGAGGCATTTTCCCCTTCCCCATCCTCGGCGGGGGTCGCACGCTGGGAATGTTCACAACAATCACTAAACAGGTTATTGAATTTATCAGCTCGGGAGACTACGGCTAGCTGATGCTGCACACTCCTCTTAGCTGTGGCAACGCTGGATTTGGAGCCAGGAGTAGGCTCCACCCTGGGCCTGGGAACCTGAGGGAGTTTCCCAGGCAGCTCTAAAACACGAGTGAGCAGTTGCTCTCCAGAGCTCCGAAAAACTATATCCAACCCGATGTGGGGTTTCCAAGGGACCTGCAAGACTGGATTCACACTGACAATGAAAGGCCGTGCGGCCTTGCTACAGAGAACGTAATCAATGTGGGTGCCTGGTCCAAGGTTGCATGTTGCTGCGATGTCGGCAGAAATGATCTCTGCTGACAGACGTTCAACTATGCCTGCACGCGAGAGGGCAGCTGGGCTCAGATTGAAGTCGCCCACGACTACCCAGGGCAACTGCAGCGCCCACAGCAATCCCAGCAGGCGGTTGAACCTCCCAAGGTTCGCGCCGTGCAGCCCCATGTTGCTGTGCCCGTAGAAGACCACGATCACCAGCGAGAAGCCGACGAAGTGGACTACCTGCGCCATGAATCCGTCGTACGAGTTCCCATGACCAGGAGCAGCCAGCTTGCCCCGTGCTGCGTGAGCTGCTCCAAGCCTGTGTGTCTGCAAATGCCCTTGTGAGAGAAGCCACTCGCCTCCTTCGTTGGCGTGCTCGGCCTGCTGGGCTGCAACTCGCCGCGAGGTGGGGCGAGCAGCGTTGGCGAAAAGCCGCAGCCCTGCACCTCTAGCTTTGCTGCCGTAGGACCGCAGCACTGACTCGGAGTGGACATGAGTCTCGGCGATCGCGAAAAGGTCGTAGGTCTTGGTCTGGGATGTAATCCACGCCCAAGACTTCTCCCCAATGCAAGTGCTATTGGAATAAAAGAGTCGCGTCGTAGCACTCCCCCCTGTAGGCACCACCCAGAGGTCCTTATTTCCTGAAAAACTGATTTTTTTCCAGTGGTTGTTTTTTTTTCAATTCGTATGCGGTGTACGGAAAATTTTTCAGTTTTTTCAATGGAACTGAAAAAACTGAAAATTTTCAGTTATATTGTACACAATTATATATAAAACACGTTAACTATGACAAAATATCATAGCTCGTCGTGAACCCTCCCCTGCTCTCGCCTCCCCCGCTAGTGCTGCAGCATCAAGGCGGCGCCAGCGCGACCGCCTGCGCGCGATATGGCCCTCCGCGCTGCCATGCTGCGGAAGCGCAGCATGGAGGAGCTCGGGGGGGGAATTCTTGGGGAACTGTCGAGCAATTTTTTGACCCCAAAAATGCCCGCGGGCAATTTTCGGGCAACATTTTGACCTGAAAAATGCCCGCGGGCAATTTTCGGGCAAAATTTTGACTGAAAAATGCCCGCGGGCAATTTTCGGGCAAAATTTTGACCTGAAAAATGCCCGCGGGTAATTTTCGGGTAAAATTTTGACTTGAAAAATGCCCGCGGGCAATTTTCGGGTAAAATTTTGACCTGAAAAATGCCCGCGGGCAATTTTCGGGTAAAATTTTGACCTGAAAATGCCCGCGGGCAGTTTTCGGGCAAATTTTTGACCTGGAAAATGCCCGCGGGCAATTTTCAGGCAAAATTTTGACCTGAAAAATGCCCGCGGGCAGTTTTCAGGTCAAAAATTTGCCTGAAAAATGCCCGCGGGCAATTTTCAGGCAATTCTCGCGCAATTTTCGGACAATTCTCGGGCAATTTTCGATCAACTGCAGAGAGTTGCTCGAATGTTGCCCGAAAGTTGCCCGAAAATTGTCCGAGGTTTCCTGCTTTGCATGTCCTTCCCAGGACGGCGCCAGCGGCAGTGGCGCGGCGGCCGCCAGCAGCGGCGCTCCGGCGGCGGCGCAGGCCCGCTTTCAAAATGGGGGAAGGAGCGGAGGAGGAGGAGGACGAGGGGGAGGAGGAGGCCGATGGAGGCGGAAGAGGAGGAGGAGGAGTAGGAAGAGGAGGAGGCCGAGGAGGAGGAAGAGGTGGAGGGGGAGGAGGAGGAAAAGGAAGGAGAAGAGGAGGAGGAGGAGGAGGAAGTGGAGAAAGACGAGGAGGAAGAAAAGGCGGAGCAGGATGAGGGTATTAAGACGGTGAGGCGGATCAACAGAGGGAAGGATGAGGTGGAACGGACTCAGAATACGCACGTGAGCTCGCACGCGAACTCACGTGCGCATTCGGGGCTAGGGCCATCGAAACCCGCGCGTATGGTTTATAAACCACGCACGCGGGTTTCGACGGACCCAACCTCGACAGCGGCTGTTGCGTGCTCCTCGACAGGGGCTCGGCATCGTCGAGCCGCGCGTGCACTGCACGCCGATCGACCTCAGTAGCGACTCCGACGACAAGCCCCTCTCCAAGGTCGCGCGCTGCAGCCAGAGCCTGCAGGACCACGCGCCGACCCAGCACTACAGCCAGGTCGCGATCGCGGACCAGCTCGTGCTGACGGACGCGCAGCAGCACGGTCGACTGGGCTCTGTTCAGGCTCGAAACGGGTTGAACGGTGTGTGTGTATGTGCGTGAGTGTGCGTGTGCGCGTGTGTGTTCGATAACCGATCGCACGGTGACAATGTCGGGCATCCTCCTCCCCTTGCCCCCCAACCCCTTCGAGATTCTTACCTTCGCTGTCCCGCGATGACGGTTGGATGTCTGGTGCGCAAGATATCCAACCGTCGCCGCGTGTGTTCTCTCCCCCCCCCGCCTCTCCAACATTCGCCTCGAACGGGTCCAACGTATATACATGTGTATACATGCGTATATACGTGCATGTATACGCCAACGTACATGCGTAGGTACATTTATACAGACTTACATACATCCATACATACATCCATACATACATGCACACCTGCATACATACATACATGCATACATACATACATACATACATACATACATACATGCATGCATGCATGCATACATACATACATACATAGATACATACATACATGCATACATCCATACGTACGTACAGACAGACAGACAGACAGACAGACAGACAGACAGACATACAATTGTCTATGCGCACACACATATATTTGTATATATATATATATATATATATATATGCGTGCACCCGACTGTACCCTACCATAGCCCGTCGTTCTCTCGGAACCGCCGGCTTTACCCGTTCCCGCAGGCCCCGCCCGAGTTGGAGAACGCCGCGCTGCCCGAGGCGGCGCCAGCTGCGACAATCGCGCCAGCTGCCATGACGGCAGCAGGGAAGAAACACGATAATGATGATGATGATGATGATGATGATGATGAGGAGGAGGAGGAGGAGGAGGAGGAGGATACGGAATAGGAGGGTGAGGATCTGACGAAGCTGAGGGGGAAGAACAGGAGCACAAAGAGCGGATAGGAGATGAGGGGAGTTGAGGGGAAACTCGAGGATGGGAGGTCCTCGAGGATCCCCTGGAACCCTCTATAGGATGGAAGGGATCCTTGAGGATGGGAGGGGTCCTCGAGGATGGGGGGCCCTCGCCCCCCATCCTCGAGGATCGGGGGACCCTCGAGGGTGGGAGGTGGGCGGTGGGGGGAAGGAACCGCCTCCTCCCGCACCCGCCCCGCATAAGGCAGCGCCATCGGACGACGAGATCATCCAGGAACTGTTCCGCGCGGACGTGCAGCAGGCCGATCGGCCTGCCTTGTTGCTCCTGGTTCTGTGCCTTCCTCTTACCGTACGCCCCTCGTCCCACCTCCTCCCGATCAGCCACTCGTCCAACATCCCACTTCCCTCCTCCCTCGTCTGCCCTCCGCCCCCTCCTTCCGGGCATTTCAACCATCCCCCCACCTCGACGTTAACGTTGCTCGTTGGTGTATCGTCGGCGCCCGCCTCTACGTCAGCTTCCTCCTCCGCCTCCTTCTCGTCGGCGTCTTCCCATCATCCGTCTCATCGGGTTCATCCGTATCCTCCACCTCCTCCCCCTCCTCAATCATCACCATCAGGATCAGCATCAGCATCATCATCATCAGCATCATCATCATCAGCATCATCATCATCAGCAGCATCATCAGCAGCAGCACCATCTTCCTCCTCCTTCTCCTCCTCCTCCTCACGTCTTCTCCTCCTGATCCTACTCCTCCTCCTCCTCCTCCTCCTCCTCCTCCTCCTCCTCTTTAGTTGTTTACTCACCAGGTTCCGCCATGCCATCCTCCCCCCATCTTCCCTCGTCAGCAGCTGGCTTGGATCAAGATGTCCTCGCCAGGTGCAGAGACGGCCCCAGGGCCGCTCGGTTCAGCCCTGCTCCCACACGTGACGGGCCCGAGTTTCTGCACGTACGGCTACGATGGCGGCGTGAGTCGGCAGGGCATCGAGGGCCACATCAAGCTGATCAGGAGCTTGGTCCAGGTGGTGAATCGGACAAACACCGCCGACCCTTCTAAATGTATACCCCTCCGCCCTCCACGTGGAGGAGGGGGGACTTACGGGAGGGCGGCGGGGGTGAAGGGATTAGAGGAATGAGTGGAGGAATGGGGGTAATGGAGGAGTGGGGGAATGGAGGAGATCGGAGGAGGAGGGGAGGAATGAGCAATGGACGAATGGAGGAAATGGAGAATGGAGTGGATGAACGGAGGAGTTCGGAGGAGGAGTGGATGAATCAGCATGTGCACAATTTGTGTTCTCACCCTAGGTGAATAGCACCATGTCCTTCAAGAAGGACGCGTGGTTCCAGGCTCTGAAGGAGGTCGCCAGGCACAAGCCACTGGTGTTCAGGAGCAGGGGGGAGATGACGACGTGGCAGGCCGAGCTGCACAAGCGCTTGAAGACGATGTGCCGCCACGCTAGCCAGTATATGATCAAGGACACCCCCCCCAAATGGTTCAAAGCGCTGGCGCTCCCCAAGCCCGAGAAGAACGTAGAGCCTGGCGACGACGCCGACGGGGACCAGCACGAGGACGAGTTCGACGAGAAGAACGACGAGGAGGGCGGGGAGGAGGAGGACCCCGCCGACTTCGAGCCCGACGTGGAGGTAGACACTGGCGCTGCCAAGACCCCCGTGTATGACTACGGGTACGACGGGGAGGCTCGCTGCGCGTTCCGCACGCGCACGGACGGCCCGAAGAAGCACTTCCCCGAGTATGCCGTCGAGATGCGCGAACCTCCAGCTGCAGCGCCTACAGATTGCATGCTGGCAGTGTTCAAAGGCGCGTCTGGCTCGACAGAGGAGGCGGTGAACGTGGCGCAGGTGACCGTGGCCAAGTGGCGATCGGGTCTCACGCAGCCGAAGGCCAAGGCGAAGACCAAGGCGAAGCTGGGCACGCCCATGAAGAAGAAGAAAAAGCAGGAGGTGAAGACGACGAAGATCTCCGACGCGGGCCCAGAGAGCAGAGCCGCCAGCAGCGGTGCAGGCACGAGCGAGCTAAAGTCCAGACGCTTGCCCGACAGGCAGGGGTGGCTTGGCAAGAACAGCAATGATGAGAAGGTCGAGGCGCTGATCCGCAGCAATGATGTCAGAGGCAAGCCGCCCCAGCGCCTCGCCGTCGTCCAGGTGAACGGCAAGACGGTGATCACCATCAATGTGGACAAGTTCGAGGCGACGGCGGAGACGACCTCCCAAGCTGCTGCCCTGGCATGGGCATCGACAATCGCAGTGAAGCTGGCGCACGGGAAGATCGATCGAGAGGGGGCCATCGCCATGAAGGCCGCGAAGCTGGATCAGGTCGGCGGCAATGTTGTCATGAAGAGGCCGTCAACTATGTTAAAGAAGCCAGGTGCCGCTAAGTGCGCTCGCCCGAGGCCTTCTGCAGCGCCTGGCGCCAGCGAGGAGAAGCACACGGACTCGAACAAGGACGTTGACAAGGGCGTTGCCTCTGCGACCACTCCACCCGTGACCAAGCGGGCGATCTCGCCCTCCGCCCAGAGGACATGCCTGTCGCCGCCGACCCCGTCGTCGGATGAGAATGTGGGTGCGGCGTCAGGCTGATGCGAGGGCGATGCGCACAGGCGCTCGCTAGCTGTTTGCGCCCCGCACGGGAGGGGTTGGGAGGCGGGACTAGAAATAAGGTGAGGGGAGACATAGTATGAACGATAGGAATGTTGAGGCTGAAGGAAAGAACCAAAACAACAAGGAACGGGAGGAACGGAGGGAGGACGGACACCGTGCCAGGGGCAGCTTGTGCATCATATGTTTATGCACGCATCGTGCACGCAGCGCCGCAGTGGACCACGTTTGAGTCCGAGGGGATTCCTCGCCAGCGGCATGGTCTGTCGCCGATCGTGGGACGAACAGGCCAACGACACACCCCTGTACAGCGCAGGAAAAGCTCACGAGTATGTATGCGTATTACGGCATAGGTCACACTCACACTAGCACCAACGCGCGTGAGCGTAGAACAGCACGCAAACCTAAAGCAAGAGGGTGCATAGGGAGAGGGAATACCATACGACATAGAACAGCGAGAGATGCAGAGAGAGACGCACATACTCAATGTCTATAGAGGGACGAGGGTGACATGACCTCACATTTTCATATAAAGAATACATAGGTGATAAAGAGAACGAGGGAGAGAGAGGGAGAGACAATCAGAGATAGGCACAACCTAACAGCACCACCGACACACGTGAGATAAATGGGGGACGCATCACTTCCAACCCCGTCATCGTCCCACCACCCCCCTGTCGCCACTCCGCCCCCTTCAACGATCCCCCGCCGTGACGGTTGTTTTACCGATTCCCGTATGTCTCAACAATACCTTCTCTCTTCCGTCATCCCTCCCGTATGTCGCCCTCCACCCGCTCTATCTACCTCACGCTCTCTCCATGGCTGTGTTGCTCGGCATTTGGCTATAAAGTATATGCCGATCTCAGTATGTGTGTGCATACACGCACGTATGTGTGTACATATATATATATATATATATATATATATACACATGTGTGTTCTCCCCCTCCCTCCCGCACGCTATTGCGCATGATATAACGATCTAGTCCCATGTGCCTCCCTTTATCTCTCTATATCTCCACCCTTGGTGCAGCAATATCTCAACCCGTCTTGCTCACTAGCTCCCTCTCGTTAGATATCGTTGCCTCTGTCTCGATCCCTCTGTCCCTGCGTCTGTATCCGTATCCCTCTCCATATCAGTGGGCCGTGGCTCGCCACGTCAATCGATTGGTTGTGCCGCGAGTTGTCGAGGCTACCCGCCCAGCTCAGCCCGCTGTGAACTCGCTGCTCGGTTTTCCCAGCTTTCGATCCCCAGGGCAAGGAGGTCCCTCGGTTGCCGACATCGCCTTATAGTTACCCATCGCCGAGCGCCCCCGTCGGCGCCCGCCCCGGCTGCGCTTCCCGCTCGCCCTGCCCCGTTCACCCCTCCGACGCCCGCGCGCCAGGCGAGTGGCCCCGTCGGGCAGAGCATGGGCGCCGCTTCCTTCGTCATCCCGCAGGCCAGACGCGGGGGGGAGGGAGACGGTCGCAAGGACGGACGACAGCCCTGAAATCGTCTGGCCTGCATGCAGGCATACCTCCAACGCCCCCACCCCCACGCACACACCTCCTCCTCCTCCTCCTCCTCGAAGGGACCCCCCCACCCCCCCCATTCTCCAAACCCTTCGACCTCCCCGCCTATTCCTTGAGCGCTCCTGCTCGTCGGATGGCGAGTGGTGGTGAGTTGGTTGAGCCTACGCCGTGATATCGATTGCAGTTGTGACTTGCCGCAGTAGGCCTTAAGTTGAGAGCTGCGAGTGGAGTAAATCGGCCGCAGGCGGCCAACTTCGAGGGTCAGCTGATGAAGGCCTTCATGGACTCGGGCGCATTCAAGGTGGAGAACGAGGACGAGGAGGGAGACGATGCGCAGGACATCATGGATGATGAGAGGGACCTGAATCTGGAGGCGGCGGCGGCGTCTGGGTTCGACATCGGCAGCACTGGCCCCATCGGGAAGAGGTACGCCCTCTTTCGTCGCAGCTGCGCAGAGGAGAACGCGAGGTACCAGAGCTTGGACCCGAGTGGCAAGAAGAAGCGGGTGAAGCAGTGGGCCGCTGAGCAGTTCGACCAGTACCAGGAGACGTCGTCTCAAAACTGATGACGATGAGGATGTCCCCCCTATACCCAAGCACACGTGCACGCATGTTCCCTCTCCCATGTTCCGCCCTCCCGCTGCATTTAAATGCGTGCGTGCGTGTTTGTATGATTAAGTACATTTGTACATAACTATATATATATATATATATATACAGACACGTGTATCTACACTTTACATTTACATGTATATATGAAAAAACACACATCTGTATATATAGATATACATATACAGAGGGCAGCGGTGAGAACTGGACATGGGAGACGTGAGTTTTGGTCAGGAGAAGCGGTCCAAGATCGACGAGCGGGTCAAGCGGGACACGAC